CTTTTTCGACTTCCGACAATTCTAACACTTCATATTAACTTATTCAAAGGTGTTCCAACATTTAGATCACCATTTAGATCTTCCAGTCAAGTTTTGGGTAGATTTTTATCATTTAGGCACTCTAGATACCTACCCAACTATCATGTATGCAATGCATTTTGTATGTTGAAACCTCACGTTATCTAATTATGTCATTTGTGAGGTGTTAGCACCAATCTTACCTTCTACATCTCATTCCAATTATGAGTTCTACTTATAGCTCACTAGTATACTTAGCATTTTAGCATTTAAAAAAAAAAAAAACACATAAGGTATGCTTATAATTACTAGTTAAGCATATTTAAATAGGTGGATGTTACACATACCTCCTCCTTTTGAAGATTCCGTCCTCGGAATCATCGTTGCTCGAACAGTGCCGGGTATTTCGCCATCATTTCTTCTTTATTCTCCCAAGTCCAATTTGGCCAACGATGATGTTTCCACTTAACCAACACTAGATCCACAACCTTGTTGCGCAAGTTCACCGTTCGTTGATTTAAGATAGCCTCGGGTTCTTCAATGTATCTCAATTTCTTTTCTACTTTGATTTCCGCTAATGGCACCACCTCCTCGTGTTTATCGAGACATTTCCTTACATAAGCAACATGAAAAACATCATGGATACCTGTGAGTTCTTCTGGCAACTCAACCCGATACGCTTGCTTTCCAACCCGTTCCAATATTTTGAATTGTCCAATGAAACAAGGGCTAAGCTTACCCTGCTTTCTAAATTGAAGTACCCCACGCCATGGAGAAACCTTCAGCATTACTAGATCTCCAACTGAGAATTCAATTGGCTTTCTGCGGCGATCTGCGTACAATTTTTGTCTATCTTGTGCAGCTTTCATTCTCTCTCGAATCATTTGAATCTTGTCATGAGTAATCTGAATGAGCTCGGGGCCAGTAAGCATCTTTTCTCCAGTTTCTTTCCAACATAGAGGCGTACGACACTTACGTCCGTACAAAGCCTCAAAAGGTGCCATACCGATTGTCGCGTGGTAGCTGTTGTTACACGAAAACTCGACCAGAGGAAAATGAGTATCCCAGCTCCCACCAAACTCCAAGACACAAGCGCGCAACATGTCTTCTAACGTCTGAATGGTACGCTCGGATTGCCCGTCAGTTTGCGGGTGATACGCGCTACTAAATGCCACCCGCGTTCCTAGTTCCCGCTGTAATCCAGACCAGAAGGTAGAAGTAAACCGAGAGTCACGATCTGATATTATCTTCAAGGGTACACCATATCGAGCAACGATCTCATCAACATAAAGTTTTGCCCACCGATGCATCGTATATGATTCCCGAACGGGAAGAAAATGAGCAGACTTTGTCAGGCGATCTACGATAACCCAAATACTGTCGTACTGGCGAGAGGTCTTAGGCAACTTTGTAACAAGATCCATGGTTAGCTCTCCCAGTTCCACACAGGTATCTCCAAAGGCTGTAAACTCCCATACGGCTTTTGGTGTTCTGTTTTTACCTGTAAACACGTGATGCATTTCTCAACATAACGACCGATATCAGCTTTCATCCCAGACCACCAATAGTCTGAACGGAGATCATGACACATTTTAGTACCTCCAGGATGAATAGATAACCGTGTTTTGTGCGCTTCCTCTAGAATAGGCTCTCACAAACCCCCAAGTCTCAGCACCCAAATTCGGGTTTTAAAGACTTTGAGACCACGCTTTTCTTCAGATAAGCAGTCTACATAACCAACCATACGTTCAAACTTCAGGTGTTCTGGCTTTAATGCCTCGATTTGCCACCTATGAAGATCATCGATAAGAGTAGACTTCATTGACACATGAGTGATAGCATAGCAAATATTGGTCCCGTGTGGCTTCCGACTCAATGCATCTGCCACTACATTGGCTTTACCAGGATGGTATAGAATTTCACAATCGTAATCTATGATTAATTCCATAGCTCTCTGTTGACGCATATTCAGAGTTTGTTGGTCGAAAATATATTTCAAACTCTTGTGATCAGGGAACAACTGACACTTTGTGCCATAGAGATAATGTCTCCAAAGTTTAAGAGCAAACATAACAGTTGCCAATTCAAGATCATGAGTGGGGTAATTCTTCTCATATTCTTTCAATTGTCGAGAGGCGTATGCAATTACTTTGCCTCGCTGCATCAACACACATCCCAAACCTAATTTAGAAGCATCACCATGTACTACAAAGTCATCATTGCCCTCGGGTAAAGCAAGAATCGGTGCATGAGTTAAACAATTCTTCAAAGTCTGAAATGCATTCTCTTGAGCCTTAGTCCATACAAACTTCACTTCTTTACGGGTAAGTGAAGTAAGCGGTCCTGCAATCTTTGAGAAATCCTGTATGAATCAACGATAGTAACCCGCTAAACCAAGAAAACTACGAACKTCAGAAGCATTCTTGGGTTGCTCCCACTTCTGTATAGCTTCAATCTTGGATGGTTCCACAGAAATGCCATCGCCAGAAATCACATGTCCCAAGAATTGCACCTGATGAAGCCAAAATTCACATTTTGAGAATTTAGCATATAACGTTTCCTTCCACAATAGTTCCAACATCTTTTGAAGATGTGTAGCATGTTCAGCCTCAGACTTAGAATATACCAGAATGTCATCGATGAAAACGATAACAGACTTATCAAGCATAGGATGACACACTCGGTTCATCATATCCATAAAGGCTGCAGGGGCATTAGTCAATCCAAATGGCATAACAAGAAACTCATAATGTCCGTATCGGGTACGAAAAATTGTCTTTGGTACATCTTCTTCATGTACCTTGAGTTGATGATAACCTGACCTCAAATCAATCTTTGAAAAATAAGTTACGCCTTGCAATTGATCGAACAAGTTATCTATACGCGGTAATGGATATTTGTTCTTTATCGTTACCTGATTCAATTCGCGGTAATCGATGCACATACGAAAGGATCCATCTTTCTTCTTAACAAACAATACCGGAGCACCCCAAGGGGAAGTACTCGGTCTAATAAAGCCCTTATCTAGCAATTCTTGCAACTGACTCATCATCTCTTTCTTCTCGGTTGGTGCAAGGCGATAAGGTGCCTTTGCAATAGGTGCAGCACCCGGCACTAAATCAATACGGAATTCTACTTGCCTATCCGGCGGTACCCCAGGCAAGTCGTCAGGGAAAACATCTTGAAATTCACACACAATTGGTACATCTTTTACAGTTTTCTTCATTTCTTTRGTTGCATCCAAAACATATGCCATGAAAGAAGAGCAACCCTTAGCAATATAACGTCGTGCTTTAAGCATAGATATTACCTTCAAGTCGCCTATACGTCTTTTCCCATAAATATATAAGTAGTCTCCATTCTCAACTGGTACCCGAATCATCCTCTGAGAACAAATGATATCCGCACGGTTCTTCACTAACCAATCCATACCAATCACGATATTGAAACCACGGATATCCATAGGAATCAAATCTACTAAAAAGTCATGTTCGTCTAACACTAAAGTGCAGTCTCTAAACACTCTATCAGCTACCAAAGTGACTCCATTAGCAGTATCAACGGTAAATGGTATAGAAAGCATAACTGGCACAGATTCTAAATAACGAACATAGACATGTGACACAAAAGAATTTGTAGTTCCAGAATCGAACAAGATACAAGCAGGTCTAGAGTTAACAAAGAAAATACCAGTAATGACGTCTGCCTCATTGTGAGCCTCCTCCGCGGTAATCTGAAAAGCTCGAGCTCGTGCTTTGGGTATCTCCTCCTTTTGACTTGAAGCACCACCCACCGCCGGTTGCTGCATTGACGCCTTACTTTCTTCCTGCCTCATACGGGGGCATTCAAAATTGTCGGTGCCCAAATACTCCACAAGAATAACATGCTCGATTTCTTTTTGGGCAGTTTACATGAACGTGACCCATTTCCCCACAAAAAAAACATTTCAAGTTTGTTGTTTTAGTAAGGCATTGCCCTTGGTGAGTTTTGCCACATCTTTGACAAGGACGTGACACATTAGATTGAAGTGAATAGACTTGTGATTGGGCACGCGGAATGTTTTGAGATTGACTCCTTCTAGGAGTGAAAGATCGAGATTGTCGCTGAGTAGGTACAGAGAAGGTTCTTTCAGTTCGTTGCCTCTTTGATTCAGAAGTTGGTTCCTCAATTTTTGTTAAATCGTGTTCACGGCGACGAGCATACTCCACAACTTTATTGAAACTCGGAATATAACGATTAACAACAAACTCCCGGATTTCCTTCCTCAAACCATCAACAAAATGCTCTATTCGATCATGTTCAGAAGATAAGAATCGTAAGGCAAAATATGCCTTACGATTAAATTGAGTCTCGTACTCAATCATAGACATGTTCCCTTGCTTGAGTTCCAAGAATTCTTTCTCAAGCCTTCGTTGCAAGTCGATCGGACAGAATTGCTCAAGGAAACGAGTCTTGAAAGACTCCCAGGTCAAGCTTTCTCGTTTATTTTCAGTCAGGGATTCAAAAGTTGCATCCCACCAAGTGAGTGCATGCTCTATCAACATTGCACTAGCATAATTCGCTTTATCCTCATTCATCACTCGGGAAATTCGAAACAATTTTTCAGTGTTTTGAAGCCACTGCACCGCGATTACCGGATCAGAGAGTCCAGTGAATTCAGTAGCACCACTACTTCGGAAGCTTTTAAATGACAACCGTTCAGATTTGGGTTTTGAGAGACCACCCAGCTCTTTCTCTTTACCCTTTTCTATGTCATGCTTATGATGTTCAAAAGTTTGTTGAACAAAAGTTGTAAGTCGTTTCAATAAGCGTTCACTACGGGGAGACAATGGTGTAGCTTCCTCATTCAGGTTGAGGTCGGGATCGTTTTCTCCAACATTAGGGTTTGTTGGAGTGTGACTAACAACATCATCATCAGCCATCGTCCTACAAGGTACACACATGGTGAGAGTATTAAAATATAGAGTATTAAATATTATCCTATTTATGGTCCCCTACCCAACCTTGGTCTTTCCTAATGGTCCATATCCCGTATAAATCGTCGCCTAGTTACTATATAACATCAACGCCTAGTTTAAGTCTAGATACCACTATTGATACCTAGTTCACTTAAACTATTGCTCTGAAACTGTTGGATCGATTAACTCTGTTTCTTGGTATTAATTACTTACTTGGATGATCTGTTTGACAGGGATAATGTAGCGGAAAAGATATGAATCAACCAAAGTAGAAATCAATAAGAACACAGTAATGAAGATTGATGAACACAAGAGATAACTTCAAATGATTTTCAATAGATGAAAATGTTAACAATTACAATACGGAAGCACACTGAAATACAAGGGCCTACGCTGCTATTTATACAAGCAAATAACTGTTTTCTGATAAGACCTAAAGCAAATTAATCTAAGCCATTGGATCATAAACAGGTTACAGACAATAACACATGATAAGCACGAGCAGCTAGTAAACCCAAGTAAAACAGCTTAAAGAAGATC